ATTCAATATGGAAGTTTCAAATGGAGATGCTATTAATTAAAGAAAATTTATATGACAGTGTGAAACCTGAAAAACCAGATGATGCATACTATAAGCATGATTGTACTGCTAGAGCATTAATATGCTTAAATATTTCATATTCTCAAATAATTCATGTAATACGTGAATCGACTGCTTCGGAAATGTGGCAGAAGTTAAAAAAGTGTCCACAAATGAGCTAACTTAACAAGCAAATTATTTTTGCTTAGAAAGCTTTATTCTATAAAGTATGATGAGAACATGAAAATGCAGGATCACATAAAAGATATTCTTGAATTGAAGGAACACCTGGAAAGCATTGTGAACAGATTAAAAGTCACTTATATGCTATACTTCTATGTAGTTTACCAGAGTCATATTCTATCTGATTGAACAGAAAGTTCTCACACTTTTTAGAACTTTCTAGAATAACTTTTTTCTGGAACATTCTAGAATGTTCCATGGTAATATATAAACAGGTTGGGATATGTGCTATAAGAAAATACCAAACCAGTCCTCTCAGTCTACTTTATCATGACCAATCAACATTACTAACCAAAGAGCAAGTTTGCCTGCTCCTTGTTTATGACTATTGTTCCAAAAAAAAAGCAGCCAATTCTATCACTGACATCAATGCTGTGTTAGGCCCGGACACTGTCACCAGAAGAACTGCATACGATTGGTATGAATGCTTCAAAGGTGGAGATCCCTAACCCAAGAAGATCATGCTCTCTGTCTTCTGTGATTCTAAAGGAATCATCATGTTCGAGTTGCTGCTGCAAAATATAATCAACAACGCAACTTTCTACTGCGAACAACTCGACGTCTGCAGTAGAAACTGGCAGAGACCCACCCGGAACACCAGAATACCATCCTGCTGCATGACAATGCACGGCCACATATGGCTAGACAGACCTGCCATAAGCTACAGGACGTGAACTGGGAGGTCTTGCCCCACCCGCCATATAGCCCTGACATTGCATCTTCAGATTACCATCTGTTTGCCAAGCTTGACTGTCACCTGGCTGGCAAGAAGTTCAACAATGAAGCTGACTGACCAACTTCTGGCTGGCAAGAAGTTCAACAATGAAGCAGCCTGACCAACTTCTTCGAGTCTCAGCCACCAGAGTTTTATTGAGATGGCATCCATTTCTTGCATAAGCATTGGCAGGAAGTGGTCAACAACAACAGTGATTACATTGATGATTAAAGTTAATTCTGTACATAAAATTTTCTTGGTTAAATGAAATGCATCCAAAGGTGAGAACTTTCTGTTCAATCAGATACCTTAATAACTGCACTGGAAAGTAAGGATGAAAAAGAACTAACACAAGGTTATATAACAAGTAAATTGATAGATGAATACGAAAGGTGTTTACAAAGTAAACAAAGTTCATCGGGACAAGCCTTAACATTTAAAAGCAAAAATGCAGAAAAGTAGAATTATATAACCCAAGTAACCTAAGATTATTAGGATTGCATCTGAAAGTTAATTTTGTTTCTTTTAGATATGCTATTTCTTTATACAGTGGTAGCATATTGTGGTTATATTCTAGAATGATATGATGACATGTTTTTCTATGTTGATTATATCCATTTTTATCTTTACGGTCTAAGTTGTGGTGTTGTTGGGAATTGTACTAGCTAAAACCTGATTAAGTATTTGGGGTAATTGTGCATTGTAACTATTCATTCAAGGTGTTGGAAGTTCTTTAATTGTGTCAGAATAGTTTGTATAGTGGGTAAAAGCCCATTTGGTTAAGGTCGTAAAGACTGCAATCTTATATATATAGGGTCATAGAAGCTTGCTGGTATGAAAAAGGGTGTGTCCAGAATTAAAACTTTAGTCGAAAAAACTGTTTTGAATTAACTGTTACTGGAAAATAATTTAAGGCATTAGAGTGAAATATTTACTATATTATTCCAGTCCAATAAGTGGTGTTTTATCTATTTTAAGTAGTAAGTATATTTAATTAGTGACATAATCACTGTCATTTTCAATAATTTTTTCCCATTTTTTAACTAGCTTTTCTATTCCCTCTTTGCAAAGACTTTTGGCTTAGATTAAAAATATTGAACTAATGCATTTTTAACATCTTACAAGGAAAGTATTTTCCTTGTAAGATGTGCTGAAGTGGTCTGAACAAATGATAATCACATGATGCAACATCTGGATAATAAGCAGGATGAGAGAGAACTTCCCATCCTAAATCCTGATTTTTTGATTAGTGATTTTTGATGTGTGGAGTCTCTCATTGTCATGTTGATGGATGTTGAAACTGTGGGTAGCTTGATTGATGTGGTTTCATATTTGCAGTTGAATTATGACAATAAAGTTTTTTTGTAATTATTTTGCCAGGTTTTAACAACTTATAGTGCACCAAACCAGAAATATTCCATTACACACACAGAAGCATCTTCTTCCCATTGTGTTTGGCTCTGCAATTCCTTTTGATGTTTCTCTGACAGACAATCACTGCTTTTTCTTATATGAATTATCATATAACATCTGTTTTTCATCTCCAGTGATGCTACATTTAAGAAAAGGTTCATTTGCATGTTTTAATAGCAATGAACTGCAGATAGAAATTTGCTGACATTTTTGTTGATCAGTTAATAAGTATGGAACTTATTTTCCAACTTTGTAAACCTTTCCAATTGCTTTTAAGTATACTTGTGTTGTTGATCAACAAGTACCAGTTTTAGTAGCAATCTCTCCAATTGATTGTCCAAGGTTTTCTCTAGACAATGACTCAAAACATTGTGATTAGGGTTTCTCATTTCCCGGTCTTTTGCTTGTCCCGGGATCCCAGAATAAAAGTGAACTGTTTCCCGGGATCCCGGGAAATCCCGGGATAGAATTAATTATTTTTAAGGTATACAAAATATCTTGAAATCAAATGATATAATTATTTTCCATTTTTTTAAAGTAATTTTAAAGTTTGTAACCTCCAAAATCATATTAATAATGCTGTGTTAGGTCTATAGGCCTATAATAAAAATTACCTTTAAATAACGTAGAAATTTTCACAAATAGAAAAAAATTAATTAAAGTTTGCTGGAAACTGCATACAACAACAACAAAAAAAATGTTTTGAATTGAGTTAAAAATTAAAAAAATGAACTTCTAATTTAGAAGGTAATTTTCGTTTTTTAAATAAAATATAATACAAAATATTGCAAACTTTTATAAGATTTTAAAAAGCAAAGATGGTCAATACTCCGATAACTCACTCTAATTCTTATTTTAGTAATGAAAAGTCTTGCCACCGAGAATGCCCTTTCCGATTCAATTGATGTGATTGGAATAGTGTTTAATGCATTTAAGAGAAGACAGATATTATGTGTTTTTTCACCTGTAGCCTGGAAGCTTTCGAGTTCGTTTTCGAGATTGTAGTACTTCTTTCGCTCTCTAGTATTCTTGATTTGTCTACCTTGGCTGCTTTAATAGCGGCATCAAGCTTAGAGCTCGATAATTCGGCAATTCATTTGGCTTTAATAATCAGGTTTATGAAGAAAAACTTCATACTTGCAGACTTTGTACTCGTTTGTATCCTTGCCCAATTTGCACAATCTGGCGTCAGGCATTTATTGAAGCTACTGGGCATGGTTAAAACTCAAGACAGCGTAAGCACAATTATTCCAGATATTACAGGTTCCGACAAGTAAAGAATTTTTATAGTCCTGCCACAAATAAGCTATATATTGATTATTGACCATTTGTGACATGCTATAACGAGCAAAAATTTAAAAAAACTAATAGGTAGGTTTAAAATTAATAAATATAAATGTATTCTGACAGTGAATGAGTTAATTATGCTTTCTATTTGCAAAATTCCTCAACCTTAACACAAAATAAGAAAACAAGTGAATTTTTAAGAAATTTGCGGGATTTCCTGGGATAAGAAAAATTTCCCGGGTTAAAAAAACAACCGGGATCCTGGAATCCCGTTTGAGAAACCCTAATTGTGATGAATGATACTTGGTCTATCAGATTTAAAGCTTATCTTTCAGACTTAAATTGTCCTTATAAAATTTTGCAAACCACATCTTGCAAGTTTTTACTTATATGGCTGCTTGATAAAGACTGTTAGTGTTTCTGCTGCTTTTGTTCTCTTTGATCCACAGTGAAATTCAAATAGCATACAGTAAAATGTGTGTTCTTCACTTGATTCAAACACTGCCATTTTTCAAGGGTAAGTTCAATCTTGATGAAAGTTGATGTACAGTACATAATAAAGAAAATGTTTTTAACTAATCTAGAATTTAAATTAATTCTGGAGTAAAATTAAGAACCAATAATATTATAACCATGGCATTTAAAGTGTTTAAAAACAAAAAGACTTTCCGTTACCACTGATGATAATCATTATTTATTAGACACTGACACATTTGATCATTTGATAAAAATTCAAACATTTGTCCAAATACAGATGCTTGATCAATAGAATGACTTTTTACCTAAAGGAGGTATCTAAATATGGCAGAAAACGTTTTTAATTCAAAATAAATGCTGTTGGAGTAAGTAAGGAAGGTGTTTTTTTCATGTGTCTGTGTCTATTGAAAAGTTCTAGTGTATTAATTAACTATATGAGCATTATTTACATACAAATATTAATCATATAGGCAACCTTTGCTTCATTCCAGTAGAACATTAATGACAAATGTTTTCAATTTAAAATAGTTTAAATTTTGGATTGAATTTGAATGTAGAATGCTGCAGAATAAGCATTCTAAATGGAACACATCTGTAACTAATCTGAAGCAGGGCAGTTAAGCTGTTTGAAAACATTTCTCATCATTAATATTCTACTGAAATAAAGAAAAGGTTGCCTATATGATTAATATTTAAGCATTTTTTCAAGTTTTATTTTCTTTCTTTTTAATTATTTACATAACTAATATTGAATTAATTTTTATTTTTATAATTTATAAATAAAAATAAATAAAATTAAATAACAAAATAAAATTTAAAATTGCAGATTTCGTGCTGTTGCTTTCTTGGGTGATGAAGCATTAGCCGAAGCTTGGGATAAAACAAAGAAAGATGCCAAGAGACAAGCTGCAGAACTTGCTGTTCGAAACTTAGTAGCAAAAGATGGTCTTGGAAAATGGGGCAGTCTATCTCCTGGTGTATGTATTTCTATTCTCTTTTTTATTTTTGAATATTTAAAACTATATATTCACTATATATTTGTTAATGTTTTAAAAATTACTTTTAGATTCTGAAATCTTAAATTCTTGCAAAAGAATATAGTCTTACCTGTATATTTCTATTATGTTGTATTTGTCTTATTTGCAAGAATCATGCTGCTATTTACAACAATGCACAAATTATTATTGATCTATTAATTCTTAATGTATCAATCCAAACACTTAATTTTCGAGATGCTAGTGGCAAACACAAATAGTCACATTTTCTATCTTCTAACTTGCTTTTATCACATCTTTTATCTTTGCATGTACAATACAAACTTGTTTTATTACCAAATTGATTATTTGTAAACTATTAAGAGAAATGTTGTAAGTCAAATTCAGATTTTTTACAAAGTTTATACATACCCTTAATGCCAAATTATAAAAATAACACATTAAGTAAATTGTTAGTGTTAAGAGCTTTTATAAACATAAAAGATATATGCAAGTACTTTCAATGATGTATTATCATTCATTTTTATCTGGTAAGAACATAAAATGAACAGAAATTCTTTTTAGAATTTTTGTTCATTACTCTTTTGTGTATGTTTCTTTTATTTGTGTTCTTCCAAATTTATTCAAAACTTTAAAAATCACTACAAAGTTTGGTTTTTGAGCATGTGAGGAAAAATTTTTTACTTTATGCTCTCTCAATTTAAAAATATTAAGAGAGCATGAATTAAAAAATTTTTACTGCATGCTCAAAAACTTTTTAGTGATTTTTAAAGTTTTGAATAAATATGGAAGAATACAAATTGCTAAAAACATATAACATAACATTTGCTAAAAATACAAATTGCCATAAAAAATACAAATTGCCATAAAAAATAAAATTACTACAGTGTGATCCAAAATATATTTCAAAATAATCATCCATCATAACAATACTACTGGTGTGAAAATTCAATAAAATAAAAACATAATTAGTGAAAAAACCAGCAATAATTCATTTCCAAATGAACGTTGTTTTCTACCGTTTTCAATGGTCATCATCAGGTTCAATTCCAAGAGTTCAAGAAAATTGAATCTTGAAGTTATGTGCATGCCTGATGTAGAAGCCTTTAACAAAATTAGTCCTGTAACTGGTTTCCTATTTTAAAAATTCCGATATTTATATAAATATGTAGGCACACATGATGTATATCTATTATATGTCAAAATGTGCCCTCCACGCAATCGCAACGAGTCCATTTCCTTGAAATTGATGGCTGTTCCCTTCTTGAACACTTTAAATATTTCTAGCTGTTCGAGATATTTCAGGCTGGCCTAGTGCTCACACCATTGTATTAATCGTGTATTATCAAAGTCCATTCTGATATCATCATCTAGGGCAAAAGAAGCCAATGCCATAGTGAAAAGGCATTTTTGAATTGAGTATTTGTGTTCTTTGATCCTTGTTTTAAGGCAGCATGTGGTAGCATCAATATATTCGCCTGGACAATTCACCCTATGATCGTAAATAGGGATAGAATGTATTTTTGGGATACAATTGGAAGTGAATTATTGCTGGTTTTTTTGGTAATTACATATTTATTTTATTCAAAATATATTTCAATATTTAAAGTCAGAATAGAACAATTGATTTCTCAGGTCAAAGCTGTGACAAAAAGTTGTTAACAAATGGATTTATACTGCATATTGGAAGTTTCTTCTTTTTCTAAAATGTATACAGCTTTGCATTTTTATTCATCTAGATCAGTCAAACAATTCCTTGTAAGCTTAGACTTTAAATTGTTAGTGTTAAAGTCAAAAATTTTGTTTTGTGCAATAACAGTGATTACATACCTAGCATATATGAATTTCTCAACAATCTGATTGGTATTATTGGAGTGTGGATCTGTCAACTATTGTTTTAAGAAAGACAAGAAAAGTCATTGCACTCCCTGTTGTAACGTCATTATTGATTGGACTGTTTAACTTGGTTGTGAATGTAGCTTATTCCAGATTATTCTTTGAGGTAAAAACTTGCAAACCAGCTTGGCCCTATGCCTGTTAGTAAAAAATGTACTTATTCCATATGCTTTTTAGAAGAAAAACTTTATCTAAGCTTAACACATTCTTTAATTTCTTGTTCAAACCTTACGGTTTTATTTGCTTTGAAGGCAAGATCAGTTATTGACAACATGTTAGGGTGCTTACCTTTAGAACTGTGTTGCTTTTTTAAAGTTGATGTTTCTTTATATCTGTCTGTTTTTTATTTTGAAGCTGTTATACTGGTGAATGCCCTACTGCTTAAAAAAGGGTTTACTATACAAGTGCTACATACATGGAGGAGGCCTTCTGTTAATAACAGAAAATAATTACTTTTGTTTTAGTAGTAAATTTTACTTGCAGAAACAAGGTTCTCCTCTATCTCCATAGATTCTCCTCTATCTGCCATATTGACTGAGTTAATTATGAGGAATGTGGAATTTAATATATTTACCTCCCCTCTCACAATTCATTATCCATTCCTCTATTTTCAGTATGTAGATGATGTCTTGCTTGCCTGGAATAGTTCAAGAGGAGTTGTTACATTTTTATACAGATGTTATCTTCTGTTAATCCATCTATAACTTTTATCAAGGAAGATGAAAAGGATAGCAAAATTTGCTTTCCTAGACCTTTACATTAATAGAATACCTGAGAAAGTATCTTATTGTGTTTTTCATAAATTCAGCTTAATCCCCTATATCGTTCCTGCTACATCTTTTCAATTACTTTGTACATAAACACAATTATATCTGCCCTCATAAGCAGGGCTTAATTGCATTTGTCCTTCCAACTTTTGATACAAAAAGAAATGCAATTCGTTGCTATGAATGTGAGAAGGAAAGGGTAATCTTGCATTTAGTTTAATGTCAGTTCTTTAGTCCAAAGATTGCTTTTCCCTTCAAACACCTTGTACACTAAAAATAGATTTAGTATTTACACAACCTTTCTTCCCTTATTTAGGATCTGTTTTGTTTCATTTTCAGAAAATATAGTTTTATCTTGCCAATCATACTGCAATTATTCTTATGCATAATCCTTTTTAACAACAGGAATAAATATGCCTATTTAGAAAGATCTGGTATTTATATAGTTCCACTATAGCATCTGTAGATGGGTTGAAACTATATTACATAGGAGCCATCACCAGAGAGCTTATTGACCAAAAAAGTGTTATAACAAAATTTTAATCCTATATGATTGGAAGCATTATTACTAAAATAATGTATGGACCAAACAATGATATTTATCTGTTCATCCCTATATATAGCAACTATGGACTCCTATAACAAGAAAACTACTCAACTTCCAGAACTTTGAGTATCACTTTTCAAACAGTTAAAATCTTAATTTGTGGCAATTTAAATTTTAAATTATCATTTTAATTCTAATAATTTAAAACCATTTCTAGCAAAGCTGAAACTAATTTAGATTGAACACCACTTTAAATGCTTCTTCAGCAATGCATTACTATATTTAAAAAAACCTTTTCAATCCCTTTCATAGGCCTCCATTTGATGTAGGCTTATCAAAGGGATTGGAAATGTTTATTAAAATAAAGTAGTGTATTGCTGAAGAAGTATTTAAGGTGTTGTTTAATTTAATTCTCATAATTTGTAAAAAGTTATAAAATCAACTTACTTAAACCAAATACAGGTATACCTCGACTTACGTCATTTCGAGTTATAAATTTTTTGACAAATGACATGTCTACTCTCATTTCTTGATGGAATTCTTATTTTTTTCCAAATATATCATTTCATAAATGGGGTGTGGATTATACATGCATGCAGTCTATACATCCATAAACATAGTAATTCTGGGTATAGGATTTAGGAGGATTTTTAAAAATTTTATTGGTTGAAATTATCTTTCAGAATGACTAATATTTATTAATTGTAGATTTCATTTTATTAGTTATATTTTTATTTTATAGGTTGATGGCTTTGCAGACACTGGTCCTGACGTTTCAATGTTTGATGTTATTGCTGCATTAAGCCATAAAGCATTTAACATCAAAGTTTTAGAAGTACCTGAATATATGGGAGGAAGAAAAGTCCTTGCAGCCTTAGTTATGAAAAGAGGACGGGATGATAGAGGCACTGTTGTCTGTTTAGGAACAGGTATGTTTTATGATGAATAGCAGTTCATTTAATAAAAGAAAATATTAATAATTACAAAATTTTAAAGTCTTATTCAAACAAATGAAAAGTTTAACTTGTTTGTTTTTAATTGATCTTAATCAATGAAATTTACTTCAGTAGTTATATACAGGTATACCTTGAGTTACGTCGTTTTCGATTATACATTGTTTAATTAATCGTCAGGTAGAAAACGGATAGTTGGAAGATTTTGTTTAGTGGAATGAAATCTTCCAATTGTCCATTTTCAACCTGATGATGGCCTATGGAATAGGTTGAAAATGTTTGTTTTAATTAAACTTTCTTGGCAACAATAAAGGTGTTTGGTTGTTAATTATTATTTTGCTGAGCACGTTTTTTTTAATGTTATGCGTTGTTTGTCAAAAAAACTTGATTTTTATTTTTCCATATATTTAAGTCGTTTTATTTGACTTTACGTCTGTTTGCCACAAATATTGATATCATAATATCACTAGAAAAGTGTTAAAAGCACATAAAATCATATTAAAATACATACATTTACAGTAAATGTTAATATAATCATCATAAATCGTAGAAAATTAAATATGAAAACATATGGGACTCTGCGTTGTCTTCTTATTTAGTGGTTTTTAAGAGCTCAATATTGGCATTTTTTACAGTAGTTCCAATATCTTCTGTTTGGCGTCATTCTATATTGGTAAATTTAACAAAAATTAGTTTACTTTTTAGTATCGCAAAATAATTTTAATAACTGTATTTGTTATTTAACCCTTAACTGGTTTTATAAATTTTACAATTATAACTGGTTTTGTGGGGGCTGCGCAGCCCCTAAGCAAAATTTGCCTCTATAGAGCAATTTTGAACAACGTGACAGTTTGAAAGTGCATAAATGCTAAATGAAACTCTTGTTTAGTATAATCAACTCTTATATATTCATATACAGTAGAACCTCGATTACCCGGACTAATTGGGGATGGAGGTAGTCCGGATAAGGAAAAATCCGGATAATCGAAACAAATACTTTAATTTGTCTTTTAATGATAATATAACACGTTTTCTTTTCTATGACATATCGGTAATATTAAAAGTAAATACTGTATTTAAATCGTGATCACATTTTCAAGAAACAAACGTTCGTATTACATTTGGACTACTACTGACCAACGCTAACAGACTACCTATTGTTTAAAAGGCCCTCTGGTGGCGCAAGAAGATGGATATTATAAAATAAAAAGCAGTTGAAACTGCATTTTTATAAAAAAAATTTGACAAACTATTTATCATTTTATGACGAGTAAAATTTTTTCGTCGCGTTCGCGGCTTTTAAGTAATGCGTAAACCTTTGAGGCGCGAGGCCCTTCGGACCGCGAGGCATACGCGGTGGCCCACGTCATCCATGCCTTACGCCGCCCTTGGTCATAAAAATGATATAATTTGAATATAAATTATTTATAAATACGTATGTCAAGTTATATTTTTATTACTTTAAATAAATTATATTTAAGTAGTACTTACTTATATTTACTTAAATATATTTAAGTAAAATATATTTAAAAGTTTACGACCACTGTGCTGGGTGAGACGTTGTTGAAACAAAAAAAGTTATGCATTCCATCACGTACATAAACTGTCGTAATTCGCCAATTGCAAATCAGCAAATTCGTAAAATTTTTGTTTATTTTGAACAATCCGGATAATGGAGGTTCTACTGTAGTTTGTTTTACTTAATTATTATAAGATATCACAAAATTGTTACAACTTTTGGTGTTTGCTTTTTTCAAAAATACAAAAATTTACCCTATTGTAAGGTTTTAACAAAAATGTTTTTTTTCTTATTCTTAAGAAACTAGTCTTTCAAAATAGTAACTCTTATAGTCTCTAATTATCATTTGTTAAAAATCACAGGTAATATAATAACTTCTACTTTTAAGACTCAAAAACATTTTAACAAAATGCGTAGTTCAGTCTTGACAGTTATCACATAGTATTTTTGCAGTACTATGCACTTTACAAACAAATTTCAAACAACTGTTGCACTTAGTAGCATATTTTCCATTTTTTTTAGCATGAAATGAGAACATACTTATTTTAGGAGTTTTTGGCTTGATCTAGAAATTTGTATAATATTATCATCTATTAGCAGTTCAAGTGATGCTTTGGTAGTCATTTTGAATTTGTTATGCAAGTTTGCAATACCTTTGCAAAATAATTGTAAAAATAAAAAAAAACATAAAAACACATATCCACAAAAAACCAACGTAACTGGTATCGTGAGGGCCACGCAGCCCCCAGAAAGTACGTAGCTCCATCCTGGTAAGTGCTAAAACGCCGAACGTTTTGACACCCCAAGCGAGACACGATGTAATGAGATTACATAAAATGGCAGCTGTGCCCAATGCTTAGATTTTTAGAAATTCGTATAAATATGGCGCGTGGAGGCCGTGCGGCCACCATAAAACCAATTAAGGGTTAACCTTACAAAATCATATTATTTTATAATGTCTTAGAGCAAACCACATACACAAATAAAGAGTTTGCAATGTACTGTAAACATCACCAAATTTACAAGTATGTATGTACTGTACTGTACATGTATTTGTTAATTTAGATTACTTTTTTCCTGTACTATATTAAAAACTAAAATTTATTTGTTTGTAGGCTTAAAATAGATTCTTATTAACCATATATTATTAAAAATGCATTTAAAAATAAAATACAGAACTGGGAATGGTTATTTGTGGTTTAGCCTAGTGACAAGTAAATTTGGAGATGAGTAAATTCGACTTATGTTGCCTCTCCTGAACCAATTACCAATGTAAGGTAAGGTATACCTGTAAATTGATTCAATATCTGACAATTTTCTTTAAATGCTGGTGAGAAAATTAGAATTATTTATTTTTTGTTATATTACAGTATGAAGAAAAATGGATAAGATTAAAAAATATGTAATAAATTATATTTATTGCTTAGTTAATGAATAGCTAAATTTGCTTGCTTAGCAAATGAAAATAACTGTAGGGACAAAAATTTTTAGTGTGAGGAAACTTGGAAACATGAGGATTTTTTTTATGAAGTAAAACTGGTTAAGATGCATTCAGAATTTTAGTTGACACAATATGAAGGAATAATGACACCAGTATAGAATGAAATTGAAAACAAAAATTATGTAATATAAAAAAAATGCTGTTTGATGCAAATTGGTCCAATTACGGCAAAGATTCAAGTTCCATTAGACTGTGAACTGAAAATTGAATAATTAAAAATAAGTATTTAAAGTGGAAAATTTCAAAAGAAAAACATTTGACTTATTTCAAATTTTGCTTTTTCAACATAACTCTCTTCTTTTTATGTACACTACCTCTTCAGTATATCTGTCTGCCTTTGTTTTCACTTGGATCAGTTGGGGTCTTCTCCATTTTTCCTAGGATGAAGGACAACCTATTTGTTGTTAGTTTGCTGAATGAAATTTTTCTTGCGTTTTTTCAGCTGATTGCAAGTTGAGTTTTCTTGCATTTTGGTCAATATACTTGTCGTCTAAATCATTAGGGTTCAGATGTAACAATTTGAGATATATTATGTAGAATTAAAGTATGATTAATAAATTCAAGTATTTCTGATTTGGAGTTACTTTTTGATGTATGATAATTATATAAAATGATATTATTATAGTTAATTAAATTATCCATTTTATACTGTATTAGATGTTTTTCAATTTTTAAATTATCGATTTGTAATTTTAAATTGTCAGACTTTCCATTTTTTGAAACTGAATTTTATTTTCTCATATAGTTCTATGGATTAGATTCAAATCTTCTTTTATAGATTTCATTTGGGTGGATAGTTTATCATTCGAAGTATTAATCAATTCCGAAATTTTTTCCCATAAATCTGCTGTTAAAATATTACTCAAATTTATCAAAGTGGATGGATTAGTTATATTAGACTCACCTGGGAAATTTTGCAGGATTTGTGAATTTATTTCCATATGAGGATTGTTGATTTCTAGTGATAATTCTTGTAATTCTTTTTCCATTAACAAATTATAATCCGTTATAAGTTTGGAATTTGATGTGTCTGGTTGATTCTTTTTGCTATTCTGTTTGGTTCAGTTGAGTGGAGGTCTTCCACATTTAATTGGTGAATGGTGCATACTTATCAGTTCTTAATATTTCTTCAGAATAATGATTTCTAGTTAGTATTATTCACTTTTGATTAATTTGATTAGTTAATTTAGAGAAATACACTAGTTTCCCAGTTAATGTCAAGAGCAAGAACAAAGTCACCAGCAGCACACACATCCAAGACACCCCCCCCTTTTTCAAAATCTCATCAGATTTATTATTATTAGTGATGGGATGATTAATCAGAATCAGAAATATCAGAAAATTTCTGGGAATTAGAATTGAGAAAATCTCATCATGATTTCTGATTTTTAAAAATGATTCTTCCACATTTCATAAGAAAATTAATTTTTGTTTTAGTCAAAGATTAAAAATTTTAAAATTACAATATTAACAATAATATATTAGTTTATTGGAAACTTTCACATCAACAAAACAGGGAGTATATGACATATGTCATGGTGAACTCACCGTGACATTTGTCATGACAGACATTTTTCTTGCATAGTCCAGCAGATTCCAACTTATTTTTATCGTGGAACCTTTATCACCTTAGTAAAACATGTTGGAACCCTGACAATTCTTAATGATTATAAATAAAACAGAAAATAGAAACACAAAAAATAATTTATTAAAATTGCAATTGATAGATTAATAATGGAAAGCAAATATTACTTATTTCAAACTGGTCATTAATGTTTTTTCCTTTCAATATTTTAAACAGTGTGCTAGTGCTAGATTTGTACTGTTGTTTGTATCGACCTTTTTGGTCTACTTGTCACTATAAACATTAGAAGTACAGTACTTGCTACATTTTTCTTCAAAACTCTTCTCTCAGCCAATGCTCTGATTTTTTAATTTGGGGGTATGCTTATACTA